AAAAAAAGCCAGCTTCAGTCATGTCATCTCATATATAAAACACCTGTGATTCACAATTACTTGCTAAGGAGCTTGCATTCACGTAAAGTATCCTTGTTGACAAGTTTGGGTGAGTAAGGGCAAAACGCACAAGATATAGTACTTTCAGTGCCCTGTAGTTGGCGATATCACATATTTTGTAGCAGAAATAAACTGCTGCAGAAAAGCTAGGTGCCATGCAAAATGTAATGTGTAACTGCAACACTCATTTCAAATGTAGTGGAGTAAAGAGTAAAAGTTGCTAATATCTTTGATACTCAGTAAAACAACAAAGTTTCCAAAAAGATACTCAAGTACAGTAATTAGTTATATTTACTCAAATACTTTACACCTCTGCTGATTTGTGAACAAAGACTCAAAAGTCTTCTCCTCAATGTAATCTTCCTCCAAAAAAATGTTCACTGCAAACTCTGGGCTCTTTCTTCTCAGTACTGCTAGTCAGCGAAGCAGTACTGTTCTCCATTTCCGCAGCAATTTATGAAAATGTACTCTTTTGTCCTTTGCATTAACACTGTGAAACTAATTTTTAATTCATTATTTGTGCAAATAATTCACAATATGCAAATTATGCTATGTCATTTAAAGGTGCATTTAAAAAATCCAATACAAATACAAAGTACAATACAAAACATGCAAAGCAATAGAAGTTTAGTAACCAGCTGAAGTTTAATTATGTTTCCCCACAAAGACAATCCTGCTCTAAGCTTTGAGTGGCTGTGGGACACGAGCAGGACAGAGCCCATCTCGTCTTATAGTTCTTTCCCTCACTAAAGCCATTAGGTACACGGTCTTTGTCTACACTTCTGTCTTTTTTTTGTCCAATTTTCATTGACCTTTTTGCTTCAAATGAAAAGATTGTAATGTTGTGATTCTCCTCGTAACTGGCTGACTTTGTTCATGGCTTTAACAAAGACCTTTTTAAAAACCCTATGGAAAATATAAATAGAAAAAAAATGTATCCATTACCTGCGCTGTTGAAAACAGTGAACACTATGCATTATTTGACATTTGATTATTCAATTTCTGTAGTATTTCTTACCTGAATGCTAGACTTAAAGCTGAAAAACTTAAAGCAATGTTTTTGTCATTTGTATCTTCGATTAATTGTATTTGTCCAATTAAATAAATAAAATAACTCTACTGCAATGTATTTCATTATCGTGAAATAAGATTTTGATCATACTAACCACCCCTAGGAGAGGGCATGTGTGTCCACACGTTCATCAGTTTTTGCTGATGTGTACACACAAAAAGTATGACAATCCTGCTGTCTGCAAATTTCTATTTAGCTTAGGCCCTGGCAATCTGTCAAGAGACACCGACCATATGTACCTGTCTCAGACCTGGCTCCATGGGGCACCTGGACTGGCACTAATCAATTTTAACCAGCTTTGCACACACAGGCCCCTGTGCTGGTATGAAAGATGATAATGTTGTAAGGATAAAAGAAACTCAGGAAACTCAGATACTTTGATCTCCTGAGAAACAGACAATACACTGGCACCTTCAAGACACCCCACAGAGGGGTGGTGCAGGAAACGCCTCTCTCACATATGCATCAGTGCCTTTTCATCTGCTCCCTCCACTGGATTCACTCAGAATGGTCAATAGTATAATGTTCTATATGAATGCAAATAAGATTTACAGTCATGTGTGGTATCACATGTGGTATCAGTCATGTGGTATCACACTCAAAATCCAGGAAAATGTTAGTCATGGAGGATGCCATTAATAAAGTAAAGTTTTCCTGAATTTTGAGCATGAATCACTATTGTGGAGTCAGATTGAGTTAAACCTAAATTGAATAACTCTGCGCGCTGAAAAGACCGAACACGCAAGTGACCTTCATCCACCACTGGATACCTTCCTTGGACCAAGTGTGAGGACCTTACAATGTCATTGCTGTATGATACTGAAACTTTTGTTAAACTTTTTGTACACTTACACTTTGATAACCATCCCTGTGTACTTGTACAATAATTTAATCATTCGACACCTAAAAACAGTGTACTGAACATAATGTCCTTTTCTATAGTTTATAACGCTGATAAACATTATTCTCCAACATGGATATGGCAAAATAAACGTCTGCCCATACATGTGTGAATGTGTATGTGTGAGAAAGAGAGATTCAAAAATAAAGAGAAAAGGAGGGAAAATAACCAGCTGCTTTTAAGAGCAAGTTACATAACCAGAGAAAATGAGTAAAAAACAGTGGAGCGGAAAGACAGAGAGTGAGTGAGAGAGAGGAAATAAGAAGAGTGGACAGAGTGGAGACCGTGATGGCGTGCACAGGTTTGTTTTGCTTCAGATCTGAGCGAGTAGCGTGACTCCCCACACATACTATACAGACCGCGTATCAGAATGAACATCACCCGTAGATTGAATAAACCTTTTCTTTTTCCTTTTTCTTTATTTTTCTGTTAAATCCCAAACAGAGCGTTTGTGGGCCATATTTGCCAAAATGGAGTAGAAATGAAAACCATCTTGTTTTCTTGGAAGTCGTCCCCTTTGTCATAGCATGCAGAATGTTCCCAAAAATTACTAGGAAAGAAAAAATGTGAGCTCTGCTAACAACGTGACTCACTCACAGAATGACTGGCACTGTGTAGCGGCAGGAAGCAGGCACTATAACGGGCTGAAAAACCTTGTAACACATGAACACAGATTACTCATACAATTGTTATACCATTTTACCATTTTTACTCTATATATTGAAACAACACCATTTTATATATTGTCAAATGAACATGCAAACACCAGACACCACAATCAACAGTGCTGCATGATGAAGATAATGTTTGATCACTTGGTTTCTATTTTAGTTGTTTGTGCCACTTGTCCAGGACAACCACAACAGAAGCTTAAAATTGAGTCACAGTTGGCAGCTGGCAACGTAAATTTAAACAGTCACAATCTTAATCTTAATCCCAATCTGCTGACAGAAAATGCACAAAATGCAAAATGAGGAGCACTGAGAGTTTAGTGTGTCATCTGCTATAGTTTGCACCAGAATATATTAAGATTTATAGTAAGATTCTAAATCAATGTGGAGCACATTGTATATTACAGTTGAAAGATGATCACAGATACAGTTTGGAAGGTAGTGCAGATGCTCTGACATGTCTTGTGGTGGGTTGTGTGATGGCTCTCATGCAGACACCGTTTATGCCAGACCTGTTCTCAAGAGGTCTCAGCTCTAAAAGGACACTTCTCATCACCTGTTTATTAAATACAAAAGTTATGCACTCTCAGTTACTTTACTTATAACATTTTTTGGGTTCTGTTTTTCTTCTTTGGTATGAGTGATGTAGCTAACTTTATCCTACCTCTGCAACAATCCACACCCACCTGTACATGCAAGCTTTACCTCCACATCCATCTACGTTAGCCGAATAATTTCCTGTTCTCTATAGTATCCCCCAGGGCACAATAACAGCAGGGAAAGAACAGAGGTACATTTGGACACAGTATGAAAGATCTAATTTCTGGTCTCCAGCTCACCTTTTCTTTCGTGTTACAATGAGGACATCATTGAAGAGGAAGAAATAGACCTGCTGGCGAGACGTTCTTTTGGAAAAGATGCCATTTTCCTCTACAAAAGCTGTTAGCTCATCACGCTTCACCATCCAGCGGGAGGACGACACCAGTGGGAATGGCTGCAGAGAGAAAGTGTAAAAGGAAAAAATGTGAACCAGACAGAATCATTAATGTTTCAATGCAACACGATCGACATGAAGAAAGTTAACAAGACCTCATTTTTAAAACAAATAACAGACATTAATAACAGTGAAATAAGTAGATAGGGATGTGCATTTTGGTCATTTTTAATTGCTAAACAATAAAAAATATATATTTTTAAATAAATAAATAAATAAGGGTCATTTCGTGTCAAATCAACCAAATTTCAGAAAATTCCCAGCTCAAATTTTTGATTTTGCTAATATTTTGTCTGAAGAAAGATAAACATGTAGACATGTAAAGATAAACATGTAAAATGAAGTTTTGTTAAGACCCAATATCTAAAAGGGCATTAAGATATCTTTAAGACTTCTTGAGTTACAGGCATGCAAACTTTGGAGAAAAAACTTGAAACGTGCTGTTTCCCCATTTTTGAATGGTCACCATTGACACATAATGCAACAAAGATTGCTAAAGTCAACAGATTTTACTAACAGACCTACCAATCTCTGTCAAATTAACATTATGATGCTGCCATCTTTCTGAAGTCATTTTT